TTAGAATTTATTTTAAAGATTGAATCAGTTATGGAAGCATACGGTTTTATTATTACCTACGACGGAGACAGAAATTATTCTGTATCTCCTCGCTTGTATAAGTCTTTGGATAGCTGTATTGCTGCGGTAAATAATTTTTCTTTTGATATTCCCGATAATTTTCCAATTGTTTTGCGTTATTTTAAAGTTAACGGAGAAATGTGGAAAGGAAATGGAAGGTTTGGATTTGTAATTGTTGACGAGGACGGAAGAATTAACGAAGTAAGTAATAACTTATATTATTCGTTCGAGGACTGTTCGGATGTTATGAACGAAGTTTATGTTGAAAAGAACAAGAAGAATATATTAATTTTTAGAGAGATAAATTGTGGATCAAAGCATTATAAATTTACTAAAGTTCATAAAATCGACTGATGATGTATTTCAAGCATCCGAGTAACTGTATAATCGCTGGGCCGTCACAATGTGGAAAGACAACGCTGGTAAGAAAAATTATTCGCTGTAAAATTTATGAAAAATCATTAAACAAAATTTTATGGTGTTATTCTGTATATTTACCGTTTTTTCGTGACGAAAAAAATATTACATTTATGTATGGTTTACCTGAATCCGTGCAAGGATGGGATTTAGTAATAATTGATGATTTGATGCACGAACTCGGCTCAAAAACTGCATTCCTCTTTACTACAGAGTCTCACCATTATAACGTAAGCGTGATCCTGATAATGCAGAATTTGTTTCCGAAAAATAAAATTATGAGGGATATAACTTTAAATACTCATTATTTGATTTTGTTTAAAAATAATCGTGATGAAAGTCAAGTAAGTTGTTTGGGACAACAAGCTTTTGCAGGAAAATGTAATTTTTTTATGGATGCATGTAAAAAAGCAACGGAAAAGGATTTCGGTTATTTGTTATTGGATTTTCAGCCAAAAACAGAAAAGAAACTTTCGGGGCGAGATTCGTGTTTTTCACATGAACAAGGTATTTATTGGCTATACTTACCGATAAAATGAAGAACGTAAAGAAAAAATACCATATGCTGGCGCTTTTAGCTAAAACTACTCTGTCTCAGCGAAGAGCAATATTGAAAGAGGCTACTCCCGATCAAGTTAAAGTTTTGTGCGAAATATGCGATAATTTGCGGAGAGGAAATATACCTGTCAACGTTCATAAATTACGAAAATATAAAAAAATAATCCGGANACGTAAAGAAAAATTACCATATGCTGGCGCTTTTAGCTAAAACTACTCTGTCTCAGCGAAGAGCAATATTGAAAGAGGCTACTCCCGATCAAGTTAAAGTTTTGTGCGAAATATGCGATAATTTGCGGAGAGGAAATATACCTGTCAATGTTCATAAATTACGAAAATATAAAAAAATAATCCGGAAATTATGTAAAAAACACGTTCTTTTAAATACCAAGAAAAGAATTTTAGTTAATCAATCTGGTGGATTCCTTCCTCTTCTACTGGCGCCATTATTGTCTATGGCAGGAGGATTAATTGGTAAAGTAATAGGAAAAAGAATCTAATGGCAAAGCAAATGGCTTTAGTCCCTCCCGAACTGTTAGCGGCATATCGGAAACCTGAAATAAGAATTGGTAATAATATTGAAGAATTACTCGAGAGCACCGATTTATCCGACAATAGTAAAGTTAAATTATTAAGTCAACTGATTTTGAGATATCAGAGAACGATTCATGCACCAAAAGAACCAGATAGAGTATCCGTCGTACCGGATGAAAATCAAGAAGTGTCTTCTCCACCCGAAGAAAAACCCGATGATAATGGGGAGGATGTAATTATTAAACAAATTACTATATCTGTCCCTTAGTTATATCGAAAATATGTTCCGCATTTAATCGACAGACTGAGACAAAATCATTACAAATGCAATGAAAAAGGCGAATTGACAATTGGCAGTAAGCCAGTTGCTGTAAGTCATATGGTGGATTTAATATCTCATTTAATGAGAAATAGAAAAACTCTATTAGATCCTTCCGGTTTTAATGAATTTTGGCAAGCCTTACGAGAAATAAATATTTTTAAAGAGTGGATTGGAAACAAAAGTTTGGCGACTCTACCCGAAATCGGCGAGCAACGAAGATATCAACTGACACCTGTTGAAAGTCCCAAAGAAATTTTTTCTTCAATTTCTCCAAAAATATTTTACCACTGGAAAAAATCATCTACGAAAAAGAGGAAAAAGGGTCCTGAATGGAAAAACTTTTGAAATCGATATATTATAATCCTAAATCTTCGGCATCGTTTGGAGGAGTGAGTAAACTAGCTAAAGCTTCTAATTTACCGAAATCTGTGGTCGAAAAATGGCTGTCTTCGCAACCAGTTTATTCGCTTCATAAACCTGTAAGAGTTAAGTACTCGCGAAGAAAAACTAAAGCTTTTTATCCTAACGACCTATGGCAGGCCGATTTAATCGTGTTAAAGCAATTTTCTAGATATAATAATGGAATAAAATATTTATTAACCGTAATTGATGTATTTAGTAAATATTGTTACGTTGTGCCAATAAAGGATAAAAAACCTAAGTCTATTTTGGAAGCTTTTCAAGTTATTTTTAAACGAAATATTCCAAAAAATTTGCAAACCGATAGGGGGACCGAATTTTATAATAGGTTAGTAAAAAGTTTGTTTAAAAAATATAAAATTAATCATTATTCGACTCATTCGGATACTAAAGCTTCCGTGGTCGAGAGATTAAATAAAACTTTACGAAATAAAATATATAGGTTATTTACTTACCGTAATTCTTATCAATATATCGATAAATTAAACGATATCGTAAAAGGATATAATAATAGTTTTCACAGAAGTATCGGTATGGCTCCATCTGAAGTTAATCTTTTGCATTACGGTACAATTTTTGATAGGCTGTATGGTATAAAAAGAAAAGATAAATTTAAATTTAATATTGGTGATTTAGTTCGAATTTCGAAAATACGTAAAACATTTAGTCGTGGATATCTGCCGGGGTGGACGAAGGAAATATTTGTTGTTCACGATCGATTTATATCGCATCCTCCGACTTACGTATTGAAAGACGCAAATAACGAAATTTTGAAAGGAAGGTTTTATACCGAAGAATTGCAAAAGGTAACAAAATGATGCAGTCAGACTTTTTTGTCACGTTGATAAGTAATGCAAGTATGGACCTGTTTCCAAAAAATACTCAGTCTAATTTTATGGTGAAAATGAGTCCCCCCATTAATTTACATGGAAATTGGGCAGTTGGACTTAGTGAAGTTATTATTCCGAGAAATTGGTTTAATATATCTAACCACAATAACGATTACGTTGTTACGTTCGAAGAAATTATAAAAGAAAAAGACGAGCCGTTGCCGGATAAATCATATTTGGTTCCTTTGATTCCTATTAAAGATAAAGAAAGTAAATTGTTTGATGGAATAAACGAAAACATACTTTCGTTAACGAATTCTAATTTGGCAGAATTTATTTTTGATGAAGATAAACAAACCGTAGACGTAAATATAAAAGATGCACACGAGTTGCACATTACGGTCGAGCATGCGTCAAAATTACTTTATATGCTAAATTTACCTAACGAAGATATCGTGCTAAGGGAGAATTCAACTTATAATTTTCGATTATCGACGAAGGCCTATTCCAATCAATTTTTTACTTTAGTGGAAAAAAATAGAAAAAAAGAAGTAATTAAGAAAACTTATAGGGATGAAAAAATCTTTATTCCTATAGGATTATATTCGTCTCCTGAAAAGTTTTTAGGAATTTTTAAATATATAAAGCTAGCTTTACTACCGAATAATAAAATTATTTTAAAAGTTCCGTCGAATATCTCTGTAGAATTCGGAAATGAATTAAAAGATTTCTTAGGGTTTACAACTGCAAAATTTCCACCAGGGGAATATATAAGTCATTATCCGATCGAAATGTCGGCCGGAATATCAGAAATTTTTATTTATTCGAATATTATTTCCTCCCATCACGTTGGAGATATAACAGCACCGTTATTAAGAGTTATACCTGTTATGGGAGAAAAAGAAGATCAGATATTTAGAGTTTATTCGACACCTTTGTATTTTCCTGTAAAGAAAAATTATATAGATTCCATAGAAATTGAATTGAGATCTGCTGGAGGAAAAGAAATTGTCTTTTTTGGTGGAAAAACGTTATTAGTTTTATCTTTTAAACAGTTATAAATACTACCCAGTTTTATTTCTAATGTTAGTTCGTCTGTGAGAAGTACAAAATGAAGCTCGATCCTAAAGTTTGTATAAATTATTACTGCAATCAAGCAGGAGGAACAATATGGACTCCCGATTCATACATGAGGAAAATGATGCCGGGAGGAGGTTATTTTGCAGGACCTCAAATTCAACGAGGATACGGATTTTTTGGAGATTTATTTCGTAAATCTATTCCTATTTTGAGTAAAGTTGGAAAATATCTAGGACGAAAAGTGTTAAATTTCGCATCAGGTGTCGGATCGGACGTAATTGCAAGGAAATCGTTTAAAGAATCGGCGAAAACGCATCTAAAAGACATCTCTTCCGAAATTAAAGATGATGTAATTAAAAAGTACAGGGTGGATCGGGTATAAAAAGAAGAAAACGATTGAAAAAATTAATCCAGTCTCGGAATAAAAGAAGGAAAGCGCGAGATATATTCACGGACTAAGAATGGACCCGCGTTCCTGTCCTTGCACCAAAAGTGAGTTGGACCTATTTACCACTGTTTCCATGCAATTGGCTATCGACGGCACCTCAGAGGTTATTGTACATCCAATCGCAATTATATCGGATAGCCGTGCCCCTATCGAATTTTACGTATATCCGGTTCAGGTGAAAATTATATCGATTTGCATTCAATTTATCTTCACGTTCAAGCAAAAATTGTTAAAAAGGTTGAACAGATATTCCGGCCAATGAAAAAGCTGCTCTAGTTAATTATTTTTTAAATAGTTTGTTTTCTCAATGCAGTGTTTTTCTGAATGACAAACAAATTATTGCGCAAACTAACTACCAATATAAGGCAATCTTAGATGCTTTATTATTTTATTCAAAAGACGCGCAAAAAACTTTTTTAACATGTGCATTATTTTATAAAGATACTGCACAATATATGGAGTCGATAGATGAATATAATGAAGGATTGACTAAAAGATTAAATATTACTAAACAAAATAAGCTAATAGATTTAGTCAGAAGACTTCATATTGATTTGTCGCATCAACCTAAACTTTTAATTAATAATGTAGATTTAAAAATTAAATTGGAAAGATCTAAAGACAGTTTTGCCTTAATTGCAAATAATGATGATTATAAAATTATTATTAAAAATCCATCTCTATTAATTAATAAAGTAGACATTAGTTCGTCAGTTCAAATTGGAATTGAAAAAGCACTCCAATCATCTGGTATTATAAAAATCCCATTTAGAAGAACCGATATAAAGGTCTTTACTTTGAGTAGCGGTATACAGTCTACTAATATTTCAAATGCCGTTATCGGTCAGTTACCATATAGAATAACGATCGGTTTAGTTTCTAATTCGGCCTTTAATGGAAATGTGAAATATAATCCTTTCAATTTTAAAAATTATAATTTAAATTATATATGTTTATTAAAGGACAATCAAATGATTCCTCCAAAACCTTATACTCCCGATTATACAAATAACTTATACGCGAGAAATTTTATATCATTGTTCGAAGATATTGGATGTATTAATCATCATAAATTTACAAATATAACTTACAAGGAATATAAAGACGGGTATACTCTATATTGTTTCGATCTTACTCCCGATCGTTCCGCCTCAGAAGGCCATCGGAGCGTCAATCAGTTAGGAAATTTGTCTATAGAGTTTAAGTTTGCAACCGCGTTATTAGAAACTGTAAACGTTATTTGTTTACTTGAATACAATAATACCCTGGAAATTGATCATTCGAGAACAGTATTCGTAGATTATTAATGAATACTATCACGTTATGGAGACTAGCGTCGAGCGACTCGAAAATAAAAAAGACTTTCGGAGGAGTTTTTGCATCGGATGATTTACCCGTTTGCATTACTAATCGAAAATCATTTATAATTAATTTGGATGAAAAAAATAAGCCCGGAAGTCATTGGGTATCCGCATTCTTCGATGGAAAAACCTGTTTTTACTACGATAGTTACGGAATGAAACCGTCAAAATTAAAAATAATTAAATTTATAAAACGAAATTCTAAAAATTGTTGTTGGAATAATATTATTCATCAGAGTTTATATTCGATGAATTGCGGATACTTTTGTTTGTATTTTCTATATAAAATGAATAGAAATCAATGTTTAGAAGAACTAAGTGTAACTGATAAATTTTATAATGACGAATTTGTAAAAAAATTTGTAAAGAACATTTATATTTAGCACGTCCACTTACCATAATGTATAATCAATGTTGTAATTCAATGAATAAAAATATTTAAAATATAAAAAATATCTTTTTATTTTTTCAAAATTTATAAAAACATTGTAGAAGATTTGGAAATTATAAATCTGTAAAAAGTAAAAAAAAAATATAAATATAATCAAATTTTTCAAATTTTATATAATAAATTATATTTACCGTGTTCGTCCATATAAATTTTATATGAATAAACATCGCACAAGCAGCAATTGGCGGCAAAATTAGTATGTTAGCGACATACTTCTCCCATCATTGTTTCATCCTCCGGAAGATATCGATGCTCAAAGGCTGCTTGATGTAATAAACACGGCTTGTACCCATTTTTTGATTTTGGCCATCAGCATTTATGAAGATAAATTTTTGTATGATCTGGACATGGCACTCGAATATCTGATGATTTTGGGACTCCGCATTTTTCTATGTCTATATACGGAATGTCTATATTAAATAAGTTTGACGTTAAATCTAAAAAATTCTTCTCTATTTCCCCTCCTTTATAAAAGAAGAATTTAAATTCCTTATATAATTTTAATAGAATTTCAAAAACCTGATAATTTTGCTTCCATATACCAAATTTATGTCTATCGCAGTGTTTCCCAAACTTTTTTAGGCCATGCCCCACTTTAACATTTCTAAAATCATCATGTCCCCCCANACTTTGGCAATCTTTTTCTTCTCGTAAGGTTATAATTATTTTAATTATTTTTATTGTCAAACTGATTTTAACCAGTTCTATGGTAAGGTAACATTCTAGTAAACAATAAGCAAAGCTTTTTTTCAGTTTACAGCAGTATTTATTACACAAAATTTAAGTAAAGCTTAACATGCCTGTCTTGCCCCGGTCTCCCCTATAACAAAACTATAGATGAGAAATTGAAAACACCATTTTGTATATTCCAACAAAGAAATAAACAAACCAAGAAATCAATCAAATATTAGTAAAGACCTTATGAAGTACAAGTATAAAACTAAACAACGCGAGCATTACAATAGAAATATGGAAATGAAATTTTATCAAAGTTAGATTTTACGTACCTCAATACAAGAGAATCATTTATAAAGTATTTCATCCCTCTCATTAAAGTTGGTGGTCTGTCAATGATATCAGGATCATTCAATAAACACTACAAGTAGAATCGTATCATTAGAGAAAAAATTAACACGATTATTTCTCTTAGTATATTAAAGACTACACTATAAATGTTTTAAATTATTTTTTATTGAATCGAAACAAGCTTTTTTTCTAGCAACTCAAATTCAAAATTCGGCAAGACACGTTTTGTAAAGTAAGGACTCTATCGATTTCAATAAAACTTTACAGATCAATAGCAGTAATCAACTGTTGTTTGTCAATGGTAGCCGAATTTTAAAATTTGACTTACAACTGAAAATATCGGCAATCGAATATCATCAACGTGTTAAAAAAACGCACATGTACTGTCTCAGGACACACAGATGCGTGTTTTTAATAATTGGTTTCATCGTAATTTCATGCTTGTTAAATGCTTGTCGAAAACATAAAACAAATTGTCGTAAGGTGTGTTTCAAATTTATACGGACACGATAAACTTAAAGTAAAACCAAAATTTGTTGCATTAAGTGGCAAATGTTTTATTAAAAATAACATGAATTTACACGTTTCCGCACTGCAAAATAAGAATTTTAATCAAACATTAACATTTTGTCACTGAAAATAATATTTTTGAAAATTCTGTACAAAAAACTGTTACATATTTATCCGGACAGGTTTTAAATTGAAAAGTTTTCTTACAATTTAGTGGCCAATGTGATCACTATTTAACTTATTACATTTAAATACTCGATTAGGCATTGTTTCAATCAGAATCTGAAGGAATTCAATCTTAAGTTTATACAATCTTAACCAACACCTTAATATTCGCTGAGAAATTATTTTTATTAAACAAACGCTTTCGATCTATTTAATAGATCATCTTCAGGTTTAAATAGAATATCACTTAAATAGAACAAGTTCAAAATTTCAAAAATACTGTTAATCAATAACATCAATTAATAAGAATAACCAATATATTGTAAACTAGCTTATCCGTCGCGCATTGCTGCGATCTCGGAAAAAAGGAAATTTAAGCAAACTCGTTACGATAAAATTTAACTTACATTTTATCATTTTTATTGAAACTTACTATTATTATTCATTTTCATCGGTAAAACATTTCAAAGTGTCGTTTCAATTGTATTTATTTATTGGAGTGCTCGTGGATACACAATATTTTTTGTTTTTCGGTCTGGTGCGTACACGAATACATCAGGTTTTTTCCGATGCGTGAGCTGGCCACATACAGTTTTCCATGCGAGAAGCACGGATTCTCTAAATTTAGCCCATACACTTTCAGCGATTGTCAGAGGTGCGATATTTCCCATTTTTATATATATTTTTAATCCTTTACAATTTTAATTATTTAATTGCTTTTTCCTTTCTTCATTGGCGTGTTGTGAAATTTCTGATAGTTGGATAATCAACCATTTTATTGTAATTTGTCTTTTTAAATTATTTTGAGTCGATATTAAAATTTGGAAAAGGGGGATACCTAGATCTGTAAAATATGCGAATTTCTTCCTACAACTTCGGTTGTTGTTCGGGGTACAGTTAAGATTTTAACAAAGTTCAAGCAAATACATAATTAGCTATATCATTAAAAGTACTCAGCAAGTAAAACATAGAAAAATAAAAACACCTTAATTCGTTGCTAGAAAATATATTTGATAAAACAAACGTTTTCAACCTAATTAACAGGCCATCATCAGGTCAAACAAAAATGGAACAGATACGTTTCATGCATAGAATATAAATATTTAAATCAAAATTCAGAACAGAAATTTTTAAAAATATACAAAACAAACGGAAGAAAATATAAAAATAACACAAAATAAAATTAAAATATACAAGAGAATATATAAAAATAACACAAAAGAAACTAAAAAATAATAAATATAATACATTTTCCAATAAACTAATTCTAGCTTGAGTTTTCAGTGAGCTTTTTAATTATGTATTTCCACGCCGACAGGCTCTCAGCATCTCTCGCATTTAAACATCCTTCACGTAGCCCACTCCTATATATTTCAATCTTCTCCGCCGTCATTGATAAAGTGGGGGAAGACACTGGTTTTATAATTGTTGCCTCGTCCCATTTCACCACCGAACCTTGGACTTGTGACATTTGCGACAAAACTGTAGCATTGGATCCTTTTTTTACGTTATAACGATGTTCTTTTAGTCTTACTCCTAAGCTCCTGTTGGTGACGCCAATGTAGTCTTTCTTAACATCTAGTTGGATGTTTTCATAAGGAACTTTATAGACACCTGGTTTTTCTTCTGTCTTTATTCTATCCTTATCATTTCTCAATATCTTATATAAATTTGGGGCTCTTTTTAAAACTATTCTTGCTTGTTTCTTATTAGCAACTTCTTTCATAATACTGTTCAAATTACTGTTATACGTAAACTTCAAGCGTCTATTGGGAGCTGTATTTAAGCCTTGTTTCTCATTGTTCTTTTCATATTTTTTGAGTAATCCTACAATGGTGCTTTTCTTGTAGCCTAGGGTCTGAGCTACTTGCAATATTCTGTCAATTTCTTTATTCCTGTCACCGATTCTATCACAATACAAATAGGCTCTTCTTATCAAAGTTTGAAATGCAGCCATTTTATATCTATATGGATCCATGGACTGTGCTGGTATATATAGCGGGGTGTGAGTAGGTTTAATATATACGCTGGTGGACAAATGATCTCCCATGAACTTGATATTAATGTCCANCGGGCACCACCATCTTTCTTTCAACGTAGTTCCTAAATGCCTACAAACAGCAGCGTACTTCCGTTGCAGAGCGACCGCTATTAACGAACGCACCCACAAACTGTTACCAGTTGATGATGCTTATGCATATAAAATGAATAATCCTCTGGTAAAATATTTACTTAAATAAGAAATATTTTACCTATGAAAAAAATGAATAATAAATCCGATTTAAATGAGAATTTAACATGTTTTTTTAATTTTTAGAATCTAACCCCCTTTTCGCACGAAGACACTGGTTTTATAATTGTTGCCTCGTCCCATTTCACCACCGAACCTTGGACTTGTGACATTTGCGACAAAACTGTAGCATTGGATCCTTTTTTTACGTTATAACGATGTTCTTTTAGTCTTACTCCTAAGCTCCTGTTGGTGACGCCAATGTAGTCTTTCTTAACATTTAGTTGGATATTCTCATAATGACCTTTAAAGACACCTGGTTTTGCTTCTGTTTTTATTCTATCCTTATCATTCCTCAATATCTTATATAAATTTGGAGCTCTTTTTAAAACCATTCTTGCTTGTTTCCTATTAGCAACTTCCTTCATAATACTGTTCAAACTATTGTTATATGTAAACTTCAAGCGTCTATTGGGAGCGGTATTTAAGCTTTTTTTCTCTTTGTTCCTTTCATATTTTTTGAGTAATCCTACAATGGTGCTTTTCTTGTAGCCTAGGGTCCGAGCTACTTGCAATATTCTGTCAATTTTTTTATTCCTATCACCGAATCTATCACAATACAAATAGGCTCTTCTTATCAAATATTGAAATGCAGCCATTTTATATCTATATGGATCCATGGACTGTGATGGTATATATAGCGGGGTGTGAGTAGGTTTAATATATACGCTGGTGGACAAATGATCTCCCATGAACTTGATATTAATGTTCAAGAAGTGCACATTCAAGGAACTTTTTTGCTTTAATTTTAATCTAAGACCATCTTTGTTATTATTGATTCTATTCAAAAATTCATGTATCCTGCTATTATTTCTCCATAATATAAAAATGTCATCCACATATCTGACGAAATGCATGACATCTTCCTTAAAATTTTTAAGTCAAAAACCTTCGCGGGAGTATATTAAACAACATTTCAATGTTTCACGGCAATCGGATAAACGATCTAGTAATGCATAAACGACACACACACACACACACACACACACACACACACACACACATTCATATTTATATATTCAAAAAATACTGTTAGTCAATAACATATCAACTAACTAGAATAACAGATATATTATAAATGATACAAAAAATGTAAAAATAAATAACATAATACTCCTAATAAATATTACTACTGTCTATCCTAACTAGATAGAAGTTTCTTTAAAACATGATAGAGTTCGTGCGCCTCTTGTAAGTTTTTAACGGCATATTTCCAAGCCGAAGGAAGACCCTCCCCATCCCTTGCGTTAATGCATTTTTCTTTAAGTTTGCTTCTGTAAATTTTAATCTTTTCAGCCGTTTTTGCCAAACTTGGAGAGTGTATCTGTTTTATGATTCCCGCTTCATTCCATCGAACCAAGGAACCTTCTGCTTGCGCCATCTGAACCAACATTGTTGTATAAGAAAAGATTCTGTAAAAATATAACATAAAACATAAATATAAATATAAAAAATACAGTAGATCCCCCTATAAAACCGTTTCCTATAGTTATGATTCCTATAAAAATTGTGGCAGTATCCGTAAACAACGGTAAAAATAACTCCTATAATACGTAAAACGTCATCGGGCAGCCGAACTACTTACCCGCCGTCCGTAGCGCCACGCTACGGAGAGATTTCTATCGTCTGGACAGTATTATATAAATTATATATAAATTAGGTACTGTACATATAATTATATATTAATTATATATAAATTAGGTACTGTATATATAATTATATATTAACTTAATTTATTGTAACTTTATTATAATTAAATATATATTTTTCGCCGTCTAGCGTCACGCTACGGCGAGTTAGGCGACCTATCGTCTGTCCAGTACTGTAATTTTATACATTTCTTGTGAAAGAAACATTTCTTATTTAACGGCCATAAAAATTATTTATATTAATGATGTCTCCAAAGGTCAACGAAGTTTTCGCAGAAAAATAATATCAGAAATCGCGGCCGCAATTTGATGCGCTGTTCCGCGACGAAACCAAGCTTTAGCAACGAGCGTAGTCAAAGGGTACACACTCGGTAAGTAATCCTACAATTTTTTGTTTATAACGTAGTTTATACGGATTATTTTTAAAAAAATATACGTATTTTGGAAATGTTGAGTCGAATTAGTCTAGAATCGATTAATTTTATGAAAGAAAACCTTTCAAACAGCCGTAGTCCGTAAACTATGATTCCTACAAAATTGATTCATAAAGAACGAAACGTATCTACCGTCTTATAGGGTGATCTACTGTATAAATATAAATATAAAAAAATATAAATATAACATAAAAAACATAAAAATACAACATAAAAAAAGATTATATAGGTGTTACTACTAGAAACCTAGGTGTAAGGATCAAAGAACACAGGTATGATATGACAAAAGGTTCTAATACAACAATGTTGGCTCAGATGGCGCAAGCAGAAGGTTCCTTGGTTCGATGGAATGAAGCGGGAATCATAAAACAGATACACTCTCCAAGTTGGGCAAGAACGGCTGAAAAGATTGAAATTTACAGAAGCAAACTTAAAGAAAAATGCATTAACGCAAGGGATGCGGAGGGTCTTCCTTCGGCTTGGAAATATGCCGTTAAAAACTTACAAGAGGCGCACGAACTCTAGAATGTTTTAAAGGAAATTCTGTCTAGTTAAGATAGACTGTGTTAATATTTATTACAAGTATTATGTTATTTATTTTTACATTTTTTGTATCATTTACAATATGTTGGTTATTCTTATTAATTGATGTTATTGATTATCAGTATTTTTTAATTTTTGAACTTGTTTTATTTAAGTGATATTCTATTTAAACCTAAAGATGATCTATTGAATAGATCGAAAGCGTTTGTTTAAAAAAATAATTTTTCAGCAAATATTAAGGTGTTGGTTAAGTTTGTATTTATTACTTAAGTATATTCCAACATCCGAAATTGCTGCCTTCGAATCATAAATTGTGGAAAACTGCTTTCCATTGGCATAAACTGTACGAACCATCATCCCCAAAGATGTTCCATCGGATTCAGGTCAGAGCTTCTAGTAGTCAATGTCATTAAATTAGTATTTTTACGTTTAAACCACATTTTTGTTGATTTAAAGGCATGCGGAGGGGTATTGTCTTCTTGAAAGATCCAATTTCGTCCACAAATATTTGGTCCAGCTTCCAATAAATGATCTTCAAGCATGCCTCGATACTTCTCTGAATTCATTCTTTGAGTTATAAATGCTAAATCTGTGGTTCCATTGAATTTAAACGCACCGCACACTATTATTGATACCCACCCATTTGGCGTTTTGAAAATATTTGTTTTTCGGTTCTTAAATCGTGCCAATAATACTTTGAATTGTCTGGACTATCTATGATAAATTATTTTTCATCACTGAACAAAACTTCACTCCATTCTTTGGACTCTCATGTGTTTTTGTGCCCAATCAAATCTGTCACTTTTGTTCTTTAATGAAAGTGGTGGCATTACAGCTTTTTTTCTGAATTTTAACGTTGGAGATTTATTTAAAACTTTCCACACTGTTGTGCTGCTACAAGGTAAGTCTAATTCTTGTTTTATTTTTGTTACTGATGTTTGTTTTGTGGAGCAAACCTTAATGATTTGTCTTCAATCTCGAGGTATAAGCTTGGGTTTTGGATGTGTCTTGAATTTTGGTACATCCTAGCCACGTGTTTTTGATAAATAATCACCAACAGTTGATTTTGGTCGATTTATGTATGCTGCAATTTCTCTTATTGGCTTGCTTTGTGATTTATAGGCATCAATCTGTCCTTTTTCATAATCAGATAAATTCTTTGTTCTACCCATTTTAGAACATTGAACAACATAAAGAATTTGTATTACAATTAGATATGTAAGCTAATTTGCATATTTTAATGTCTAAAACTACACAATGTTCTATTGAAGTCATGAAATGATATCCTATCTGGATAAATATGTAACAGTTTATTGTACAGAATTTTCAAAACTATTATTTTCAGTGACAAAATGTTAATGTTTGATTAAAATTCTTATTTTGCAGTGTGGAAACGTGTAAATCCATGTTATTTTTAATAGAACATTTGTCACTTAATGCAGCAAATTTGGTTTTTACTTTAATTTTTTCGTGTCTGTATGAATTTGAAACACACCTTATAAATCAATATAACTCTATTCCAATCTAAACTCGCTGGACATGTTGCGCACGACCAGTTTACAACAAATAATCCAACAATAGATTTCTCACGGCATGACATCGGCCTTACCTACTTACACATACACTCTGTTCGGAAGTGATACAGCCAATGTGAAATGAAAACATTAATAAAGGAAGAAATATACGTTTTAAAATAATAGAAGGGAATTTACTAATGGCTCATTCTTGTATCCTAAAATAAAAATTGAAATGCATTTCAGCAATCTTATACTGTACAGGATAGAATTCTTTCAAATGATAAAGCAATTTTAATATTTAATTAATAAGTGATTTAATTTGTTATTAGTAACCGTTTTGTCTATTTCGTTTATTATTCACTTTTTAAAACCTTATCTGATGTTGTTTAAATAAGATTATTTCTTACTTTATCTGTCATTTCCTGCCAAGCATCAGTTATTGTCATTTTTAATGATTTCACTGATGTATGTTGCTTTCCATTAGTATATACTTTTGTTGAAAAGTTACCAAACGTGTTTTCTATACGATTATGACCAGGAAAACATGGAGGCTAGTCTATATCATGCACACTGGTTTTTGGTAAGACACACGTTTTGCCAAAATCTAGTAACCTGTT